CCTCTCTGGGGTGATGGGCCACGAAGCAGAGCCCTTTAATTCCACAGCCGCACGACTAACACAAGCCTCGAGGTCATCACAGTCTCTAGATTAATCGCGTGTTATACATGGGCAGCGCACGGATTCCCATCCCATACCCTCGGGCATGCCACTGGGGGCAAGGTTTCACCTCTGAGGCCACAGGAACACAAATGTGGCGTCTGTGCCCAGAGGAGAGAGCCAGACTGAGGGAGCCACACTCCATGTGACTCGCAGCACCAGGACACCCAGCCTTGGCGGCAAGCATGTGCCCTAAGGGGCTGGCGGAGTCCCGGACAGAGCGTGGGCCTGACTTCGAGGGCTGCGTCTGCAGGCACCAGCTCCGCACTGCCTATAGCTCGTCCTTCCCAGACTCAGCAGGGTACCCCACAGTACGCTGATTCACAGACTCACGCGTATGTTCTTAGAATTTCCCTGCGCTTCTTTACTCCTTTATGATCTCAATTTTTGCTTTAAAAAAGGAACGTTCACGGATAAGAATGTCTCCTATAACTTTTAACTAGAAATAATAATACCAAGTGTGAGATGTAGAGAAGTCGGAGCCCGCTGAGGCAGCCGCTTTGGAAACAACCCAAATGTCTATCGGCAGAGGAACAGATGAACAAAAGCGTGGTCTGTCCACACAGGGGAACGTCACTGGCCACGGAGACAGCAGTGAAGCTCGGACACCTGCTACCCACGGATGAACCCTGAAATCATGATGCTCAGGGAGAGAAGCCACAAAAGGCCGAATACTGTGTGACTCCATGTTCACGAAATGCCCCAGAGACAAATCTATAGAGACAGAAAGTGGGCCGGTGCCGCAAGAAACAGGGGTAGAGAAAGGACACGAAAATATTCCAAAACTGATGGCTACAACGCCAAATACACTGAAAGCCACAGAATTATACATGTTAAATAAGTTAATTATGCGGTATGTGAATTATATCTCAATAAAGCTATTATTTATTTATTTATTTATTTTTAAATGTTTTATTTATTTATTCATAAGAGTCAGAGAGAGAGAGAGGCAGAGGCAGAGAGAGAAGCAGGCTCCCCGCCTAGCAGGAAGCCCGATGCGGGACTCGATCCCAGGACCCTGGGATTGTGACCCGAGCCGAAGGCAGATGCTTAACCATCTGAGCCACCCAGGCGCCCCAATAAAGCTATTTTTTAAAAACCAAAATTTGGGGGCACCTGGGTGGCTCAGTTGGTTAAGCGACTGCCTTCGGCTCAGGTCATGATCCTGGAGTCCCGGGATCGAGTCCCGCGTCGGGCTCCCTGCTCAGCGGGGAGTCTGCTTCTCCCTCTGACCCTCTTCCCTCTCGTGCTCTCTATCTCTCATTCTCTCTCTCTCAAATAAATAAATAAAATCTTTAAAAAATAATAATAAAAAAATAAAAAATAAATAAAAACCAAAATTTTAAAAAATACATAAAGATGTCAGAACGTGAAAACCAGAATTAACATTATAGGGTATATCCTCCCAGATTTTTTCTCTGAAGATCGATGAATATGGAACAGGAATAGATATGGATGGAGACACATATTTTCACAATAAAAGTAGGATTACACTATATACCCCAATATACAGTTCACTTTTTCCTTTAATATCATGCCATGGACCACCTTCCAAATATGTACATAAAATGTTTGCTGCCAAACAGCCCTGAGGTCTGAATGAGCACACCTGCTGACTCACCCGTCCCAACCCTGATGGGCGCCCGCAGCAGAGCGGCCTGGTACATGGCCGCCCACCTGTCCCTGTGGAGTTCCCATGGGCCTGTGCTTGGCGGAAGGGTGCTTGATGGTGGGAGGCTCTGGTGCACAACCCCGTGCGACCCTCCAGAGAGTGAGGACAGATTCAGCCCACACGCCCACCAGCACAGTCTTACCAACATTTACAAACTTGGCTCATCTGATGGCAAAACGAACCTCCTGCTTTTGCTGGCAACGTTTAAATCATCGGTGCAGCTCAGCGTCAACCAAACGTGTGTGAGCACTTTTGTTGAAATGCCTCTGGCCCGTGTTGTATTCATGCCCACCTTCTCGTGTTCAGAACAGTAATCCACTGAGAGCTTTCAGGTTTGTGTTACAGATTAGAAGATAAATAACTGATACACAGCATATGAGAAACACCTTTTCAACTGGAAACACCACCAAGTTGTTAATATTCTCTGTCATGAATGGGCAAGGTCCTGCCTTCTGCAAAATGCGCCCCAGCAGAGTAGCAGGGCTCCTGCACTCAGGAGCTGAGGCTGCCCGGGCAACGTGACATCTGTCGGGGCATGAGGGTGGACATGAGGTGTAAGTGGAGCAGGCACCCCACCCCTGAGTGTCCCCCACCCCAGGACACACCAACACAGTCATTCGGACAAACCCCACCCCCATCCTGGCTCAACAGGAGTCTGCACTTGTGTCTCTGCAGGCTGCAGAGTCCGAAGCATGTTCCCAAAGAGAAGGGAAACCGAAGTGTTCTCCCATCCCCGCCCTTCTCCATGTGCCGGGCAAGACAATGTCTTCTTTCTGGTGGACTCAAAGGGGGCCCCAGCCCCCAGCCCCCCCTTCCTTCCCATTAGCAGCATAACCTGGGGTACCTCTCCACACAGACCCCGCTTTGTCCCCAGCCAAGGTCAGCCGCAGTCAGATGCATGACTCATGCCCCACAGTCGGCCCCACTTGCAGCCTTAGGGCTCCAGAACCCTCTTTCCAAATAAAGAAAAAAGCAGCCCAAAGGACTTGGCTTGCCTTAAATACTGCTATCTGACAGAAGGAAATTAATGCATGCAGCGGCATCCGCCCCTAAGGCTGGCCAGAGTGACAGGCTCTTTCCCTCAGTAATTACTGGGAGAAGCTCAAATGGAGTTTCACAAAATCAAACACCCTCTTGCTGAAAATGGAGCTGATCTGTAAGTAGCGCCGACAAGGGGAAACCGCCCGCCTTCCTCCTACTCCTCCCAGAGCCCAGATGTGCAGCCCAGAGGCTCAGACAGGGCCTCATCTGGGACGGGCGGACAAACCGCGGACTTCTCCATGAGTCATTTCCCAGCATCTGCGCGAGGCTGGCAGCTAGCCCCGCGGCCACGATGTTTGCTCGCGAGAAAACAGCTGTGCACCTGGTTTTCTCTGGTTTCAGGCTATTTCGCAAACACCCGAGTCCATTTCCCAACATCTGGGCAGAGGAGCGAGGAGCGGGGCTGCCTGAGCTGCTCCAGATTTGGGATATAGATGGAACGGCTGCACACGCCCAAGAATGAGGAACCCCATTCCGAGTGTCTCTGTGAGAGGACCATTCTCACGACGGTCGACATGCCACACAGAAGGCCACGCTGGGGCAGAGCGTCCAGGCTCCCAGAGGGAACTCCGCCCACCCCACAGCCCAACATGGACTGGAAGCCAGGCAGGCAGGGTGAGTTCTCCAAAAAGAGCACCAGACTCCAGATCTCCAAAGAGATCAGAGTTCAGCTAATAAAATGTGCCTGTTACGTCATTAACTAAAAGCTGGGTTAAAATCCCATTAAACCAGATGCTGTGCAAAGGTCCACAGGAGAAGAATAATGAGAAACACCACGGAAGTCGAGTGCTGGCACCGCCCACAGGGACCGCAGAGACGGAAGCGCCGCGTCTCCATCTGCAGCAGGCACGGGTACCAGGAAGGCCTGTGATGCACGGTTCCAGAAAGGAGCCTCAGAGGCAGGAGGAAAACCTTTTGGTTTCTTCTCACTTCCTTCAGACCCCCTTTAAATCCCTGCACGGCATGGCTCCCCAGCACCCACGAGCCTTCGCCGTAGAGCCTTTTCCCTTCCAACGAGATGCTGCATCTTCCTGGGAGGAGGGATGCTCAGCCCCTGTGCTGAACCCCAACCCCGACTCATGTCCCTCCAGGGAGGGGCAGCTCCCGGACAGAAAGCCGCTCCGATCCCCAAAGGATGCGTGTCGTGCCGTGTGGCATTCTGCACACTTGCAGCAGGGACAGAAGGCATGTAGGTAAGCCTCTGCCAGGAAGGAGAGAGTCTGAGGTCAGATCACAGTATGTGTTCCAATGCTGGGCAGAAGGGTCACTGGGCCAATCACTGCTTGCACTCGAGGGGCTCTGTGCTGGGATGCGGGCAGTGAAGCACCCAAGGGTCCATGGTGGCTGCTGATCACAGAGACATGGAGGACATTTGAGGGTGGTGGCCTGGCAGGCAGGGCCAAAGGAGCCTGAGGTCAGCATGGGGCAGGCACAGGACGAAAGGCAGTCAGAGCTGCTCACACTCCTCCCCCCAAGCACCAGGACCCACACTGGGGATTCCTCCTGGAGCACTGCAGGACCATGGAGAGACGGCTCCCTGCCTGGAGCACTGCAGGGCCGTGGAGAGATGGGTCCCCGCCTGGAGCACCCCAGGACAGTGGGGGGATGGATCCCCACCTGGGGCACCCCAGAACGGTGGGGTGGGGGATGGATCCCCAGCTGGGACACCCCAAAACGGTGGGGGGATGGATCCCTACCTGGGGCACCCCAGAATGGTGGGGTGGGGGGGGATGGATCCCTACCTGGGGCACCCCAAAACGGTGGGGGGATGGATCCCCGCCTGGGACACCCCAGAATGGTGTGGTGGGGGATGGATCCCTGCCTGGAGCACCCCAAGACTGTGGGGCATAAATTCACCTACTCCAGCTGGCAAGGACTGTCTGGGTGTAAAGCCTGCATTTATGTCCAAAAGACTTTTTTTTAAACTTAAACTGGAGAAATTCAAGATAAAAGTAAATGTTAGGAGAAACTGTTCTGTGTACAGCCTCATAAATCAAAATCGGTGTTTGCTCATTGGCAACGTGGTTTTTATTAAAAACCTCCAAGAAAATGGAGTCTGTCTTCCCAAACCATAGACCCCAGACAGATTCTCCCCCTCAAAACTGTGGCGCTACGGGGTCCTCCTTGCTGGAGTCACACCCAGCACACCGCAGAGCTGGTACATTCTTCAGTATGAGCAGAAAGAAAGGTGCTGTCATGTCAGGGACCCACAGCCTCCTTTAATTCCAGGTTGGAAGTGCGCACCCATCCCGCCTGAGAACAACCCTTCCTTTGGGAACATTCTCAGCAGGAATGACAGGATGTGAGGGCTGTAATTATGCCGTGTCGGTAAACACGGTGATGAGCTAGCTCGTCCTCACTGTGCTCCAGAAAGCGGTTATTTTACCGTCTAACTTCTAATCTTATGTAAAAAAGCAAAAACAAAAACATCCCCCATAATCCCACTAACCCCGCAAAATAACCACACTGACATTTATGTCCACATATTCCAGACCATTTTGGAACAATCCCAACTTCTGGAACAAAACAGAACCTTACTGCGAACACAGCTTTGTGACCTGCCGTTAACACTCCAGACATAAAGGCCCTTTGAGCCGCGTGAGCACCATTCCCACTGGCTTGCAAGGAGCTGCGAGGAGCCGCCAGAGCTCTGCCTCTGCAGGAAGACAAGAGGGGCCCGCAGGCCAGCACCAGGTGGCCACTCTCCCCCTCCCCACGAAACCAGGTGAGAGCAGGTAGACCGTGGGCGGGGGACCCGGAGCGGCCGTGGGGAGAGGCTCAGCACGGCCCCCCCTCAGAGTGGCCACTGGGGAAGGTGAAGGTCAGATCAGGAAGTTTGGGACAGCTCCTCTGCCGGCCAGGAGCTGTTCATACATCTTGGGGGGATTTTGTGGGAAAAGGTAGGCAATGTCTTCCTCCCAATAATCACATACGTTGACAAAAGGAAACGAAAACACTAGTAGTTCGTGGAATAGTCTTGCAAATGAGCGGGCCAACCCAGCACGGAGGAGGTCTTGGTTTTAACTTCTCGTGTGCATGTAACATGGATATGCTCCTTCTACTGGACAAAATGGTGATTTCCTCCATGATGGAACCTTCCCCATCCCTGTTTTGGAAGCAGGAGGTAGACAGATGCGTCATGCCGTCCAGGATGGGTAGCTGCCCGTGAGCCCGACCTTGCCAGCCCAACATCCTAGAGCCTTGAGCTTAAGCAAACAGACAATGAGCTGCCATTTAAGTGGTAACACGATTATAGCCAAATAGCTCACAAGGTCCACCAGTATGAATACAGGTTTTGCCTCAATACTAAATGGCCAAATGCACCCATATTTTTTAAGCTCCTGGAATTATTTTGTGTTTGTGTCTTTCTTTGTTGTCAGGTTTAACTTTCTGTTAACAGCACCCTCTCCTTGCCTGGTATATTAGAGAAGCACTCAATAAATATTCATTGAAGCGCACCTGGGTGGCTCAGTCGGTTAAGCATCTGACTCTTGGTTTCAGCTCAGGTCATGATTTTGGGGTCCTGGGATCGCATCAGGCTCCAAGCTCAGCAGGGAATCTGCTCCAGATTCTCTCCTTCTGCCCCTCCCTCACTCAAGCACACGTGCACTCGCTCTCTCTCTCTCAAATGAATAAATAAATCTTTAAAAAATAAATAAATATTCATTGAACGAATAAATAAATAAACAAAAATAGTCAAGCTCATTAAAACTGTCAGGAGAGCAGGAATTCTCCAAGTCTGGACCATTACCTCAGTGCACTGACTATAGAGTTAACTGGCTCCTTGTGACAGCATTTTGGGGGCTCCCACCTGATTCTGGCTGTTTCTCAGATGGCTGATTTTCTGACAGGACAGCATTACTACATCATTATCTTTGTTTAGCTCTGAGCCTCCCTTTCCTGCTCCAGAAGCACATTTTCTAGTACCACCAATGCCAGGAACCGCGATTTCCATTTCTAAACTTGTCTAAAATGTTTTGAAGACTGTGGCCCCCATTCTCAACCTTGCCTAAAACAGAGGTTCCCAAATAGACTCTCTTCCCAGAGATCTTGGCTCAGCAGGTCTGGGGAGGGCTCAGCTTCCCCAAGACCACAGTTACTTTCCAGGTTTATGACCTCCGGCCTCAACATTAACTGTGCAAACACAGAGGGTTTATCTGGTGTCAGGATAATGAAAGTAACCCAAAACGCTACAGTAACATTATCATCCCTGGCATCACCTTCATCACCAGTCCCAAAGCCAGACTTGACTCCTGACAAATGTTTCAGGCTTCAGAGACTCTCGAGCATGCCCGGCACACACACAACTATGGCCACTCAGCCTCAGGGGCGCCCCCCAGTACTAGGGGCACCAGTGCAGACAGACAATGAAAGGTGTCTCCACATCTCGGGAGCAGGAAATCCCTAACAGGTTTGTAAAAACAAAGTTCAGTCAGTGGTCAGAAGGCACTCTGTTCCCTCTGAGAAGGAGCAATATGCAAGGATATAATTCTTCTGCTAAAAATGTTCTCAAACTAAAAATAGCTGTTTGCATGATCCACACAACCATAATTCTAACCCTGAAGGTGGAGTCACGGGCTTCGTGGGGCTCCTTCTCCACTCCATTGAACACTTGATGATAAACGTACTTGCTCAGGACCCCACTACTGGCTTGTTGGCTTCACGTGGGCTGCAAACCACAATCCCCACCCCCTGCTAACACGCCATTTCTGGGCCCTCTCTCCCCACCTGCTATGTAAACTGCTGTCAGGGTGTCCTCACCTCCTGTCCCTGGGGTGTGGTCCAGGGGCAGCATCCCAGGGAGACTGTCAGAAATGCAAATTACAGCCCACCCTACATGTCCTGGGCAGACATCTGTGTCTGGACAAGCCCTCCAGCGGTGAGTGGCCCTTAGCAGCTGACCGTGAGAGGGGCTGATGTGCTCATCATGTAGCAAATTCCTCGATCTGAGGACCTGTTAGGTGCTGCTCCTTCTGACTGGACCTTTACTAACGCTATCAGTGAGCACTCTGCAGGCCCCCTTTCCTCAGTGAGTATTACCTCCATGCCCATCTCCGATATGACTCTCTAGGAAAATTTAGAGGAAGGTGGTAAAAAAAAAAATAAGCCTCCCAAATACTCACCTCTCAAAATGCCTGTCTGGTGCTGTGTTTGGTACATACCTTCAGCTCATCTCTGACCAGAAGGTGCCCACACGCGCCCCAGGAGCAACAGCTCCCCCACGCACCTGCAGGCTGCTCAGCCCTGGGCAGCCCGAGCATTTGGGAAGAACATCATCTGCCAGCAAGACGTCAGTGACAACCGTCCTGGACACGGGAGCCCGTGTGAATGTTCAGCACCCGGCTCACGCCAAGCAGCGCGGACAGTGGCAAACAGCACCCGTGTCCAGGGTATATCTGCTACACAGAGGAAAACGATCAAGTACCGCAACAGCCGACATTACCAGAGCGACTTCTCCACAATCTGGGTCCTGAAAACCTCCTCCCGGTCCAGGTTCACGGTGCAGTAGCAATCTCGCATCTTGTTTGGCCCCGGGTGTGTGGGAAGATTTTTGGCTTCACCTAAAAATCAGATGTAAATATACCATCAACTTAGCATAGAATTATTTCGTTCCCTTGTTAATCACAAGCACATTTCCAAATAATCAATTTATTTCGTAGCAATGCACCTGCTTTCTCTTTTGTACACTCATTAGCTCTTTATGTCTTTCTTGCTACCACAAGTCAAAATATCAAAGAGAATAGCATGTGTGATGTTAGAATGCAAGGTAACATACACATAACCTCCAAAAAAAATTGATAAAAGCAGGAATCCATTAGCCTACGAATTAGGATTTTACTCACATTAGCCCCCTTAATTTTTTTAATGTGTAAATTATGTAAAATACATATAACTTAAAATGTATCATCTTAACCACCTTTGAGTATAGAGCTCAGTAGTCTTAAGTATATTTACACTGTTGTGCAACCAATCTCTGTAACTTTTTCATCTTGCAAAACTGAAACTGCAGCCACTAAACACGTCCCCATTCCCCTCCCCCAGCACCTACCCTTCCACTTTGTGTCTGAATCCGACTACTCTAGGTAATTCACGAAGTGGGATCATTCAGTATTTGCCCTTCTGTGACTGCCTTATTTCACTCAGCACAATGCCCTCAAGGTTCATGCGTGTTGTAGCAAGTGTCAGGATTTCCTTCCTTGTTAAGGCTAATTGATATTTCATTGTATGGACGGACCACATTTTGCTTAGCCATTCATTCCCTGGGTCGCTTTTTTATTCTGAATTTGATTTGACATTATTAGGTCAAAGTTGGGGCAATAATTAAGGAGGACTCTTTTTTATTGACAAAACTCTGGACTGCAGCTGTTTATTTTTTTAAAGATTTTATTTATTTGAGCTAGAGAGAGAGAATGAGCACACAAGCGGGGGCGGGGGGAGAAGAAGCAGGCTCCCCGCTGAGCAGGGAGCCTGCTCGATCCCAGGACCCTGGGATCATGACCTGAGCCGGGGGCAGACAGACAATGACTGAGCCATCTGGGCACCCCCCTCCCCCCGCTGTTTAAATACAGAGCAATTAGCCAGTTAGAAGAAAGTCCCGAGGGGAGACCTGCTGGAGGTCAAGTGTCCCCCTCCCACGGCCCCTCCTCCACAGGGAAGGAGAAACCTTCAGGCGGCAGCAGAAAACGCCACAACTCCCCGACTCCTCGTGGGACCCTGGGTCTGCCTAGAGATCATCATCAACACCGCAATCTAGCGTCCTCACAACTAGCATGAACAGCAAGTCGACAGCCCCACTCACGGGCAGCTTGGGACACGGACGCCCAGGTGACGTCTCCTCTGAGGAAGAAAAGCCTCAGACATACTCTTCCCTCCCAGAGGCCTTCCCTGTCTCCGGGTCTTCCGGGGTGCCCGCAGGCAGCCGGCCCAGCACTGGGAAGACAGGGCAGTTCCGAGAGCCCGGACGGTGCCAACAACCCTCCAGACACAGCCAGTAACACCTGTAGCACCACAAGGCACCAAACTGCCTCTTTCTTGTCAAAACTGAAAAAGCAACAGAAACCAACCTGAACCAGAGCACGAGCTCCTCAGAACTGAGCACCAAAGCTGCCCAGGGCACACACCCTCCTCTGCACAACTCCCAACAAAAACAGCCGTTCTAACTCAGTTGGAGGAAACCAGCTCATTTAAAAGATGCCAGTTTGCAAATCGGCCTGCCAGAGCCTCCAAGAGGGCAGAGACGAACTCATTTGTTTGAAGCTTTCCTGACCTTCCATTTAACGTCGT